TGTTTGGATCTAGAGTTAGATCAGGTTAGGCTCACAACAATAGAACAAGTTTGTTTGGAACTAGAGTTAGGTCAGGTTACGTTCACAACAATAGAACAAGTTTGTTTGGATCTAGAGTTAGATCAGGTTAGGTACACAATTATAGAACAAGTTTGTTTGGATCTAGAGTTAGGTCAGGTTAGGTACACAATTATAGAACAAGTTTGTTTGGATCTAGAGTTAGATCAGGTTAGGTACACAATTATAGAACAAGTTTGTTTGGATCTAGAGTTAGGTCAGGTTAGGTACACAATTATAGAACACGTTTGTTTGGATCTAGAGTTAGGTCAGGTTAGGTACACAATTATAGAACATGTTTGTTTGGATCTAGAGTTAGGTCAGGTTAGGTACACAATTATAGAACAAGTTTGTTTGGATCTAGAGTTAGATCAGGTTAGGCTCACAATAATAGAACAAGTTTGAAACTAGAGTTAGGTCAGGTAAGATGCATGTGTTACAGAATAGGTTTGTTTGGATATAAAGTTAGGTCAGTTTAGGTGCAAATCTTACAAAATAGGTTTGTTTAAATTAGTTAAGTTCATGTCTTACAGTACAGGTTTGTTTGGATTACTTAAGTACACATCTTACAGTATAGGTTTGTTTAAATTAATTATGTTAAGTGCACATCTTACAGTACAGGTTTGTTTCAATTAGTTAAGTTCATGTCTTACAGTACAGGTTTGTATAAATTAGTTAGGTGGGAAATCAGTCAGTGTATTTTTAAGTTACTAGATCAACTAGCCATAAAGTGGTACAAGTAACAAGTACGTTTATTTTTTACATTAGTTTATATAATTAATGTGACTTTATACATGGCTTGCAAGTAACTACACTGATAAGTTTGTAAAAACATTAAAGAAGGAAATCAATTAATTTTTTTATCATTACGTGGACTGGACAGATAACATGAAAGAACCCACAACAAAAGAGAAACATTACAACATTGGTGTCAGGAGTGGGATTATGTTGGTGAAAATAAAATAGAACTTTGAATATACTTGAAATAAAAACTTAACTGTTGAAGATGATGACAACAAGGTAAAAGAGTGAGAGCAAAGTGTTACTTGTCATGATGAAATTGTTAAAACAAGATCAAGAATAAAGAGATACAAAATTTGAAGAACACAAAGAAAGGGACAGAAATTTAGAATATCACAATAACTTAAGAAAAGAGTTAAAAGAAAGAGATGTACTATTTAAAGAAGAATTAAAAATAAATTTGATTGACAAGATTGATGAAGCTGTAATGAGAAAATTGACAACACAGAAAATAACAGTAACAGAATAAAACATCTGGAAAACAAATTATTAAATGCACAGATTAAACCAGCAACATCTCTTTCTGCATTGCTTCAAAAGTTTCAACTTAAAGCAGAATGAACCCATACAGAAACTGAAAATAAAAAGATTAAATAAAAAAAATATATATTCTGGAATTATATGGTTGTTTTTATTATTTTGTCAAACAGAATCACCTTAAACAGTTACTAGCTTTATTTCTGATTTCCTGAAGATGCACAGGAATGTACGTTTGACTAAAAGATACAAAGTCTTAACTACAATAGCTTTATATACACTCACCCTGCCTTAAATTTCAAAATTTGTAAAAAAAAAAGAATAAAAATACTAAATTTTGCTTACTACTTCCATGTTATCCATGGCATATTCCTGTAAAGCAAAGTTTCTTGCAGTGTGCATTAGAGTCTGAAACATGAAAAGAAAAAACCTTTACTTTAATGCTTTTACCAGCAGTTGTTTTTCTACCTGTTTAACACTACTTTTTATGTTTTATAATAAAAAAATATAAGTTTTGTATAGATGTAGAATTTTACATCTGATTTTTTTATGAAGTTATAAGATTAAAAAGCTAAAGCATGATTGACTAACTTTATATTTTCTGTTTGTGGTAATAAATTGAAGTCAAACATCCTGATTCGTGTTATGTACACACAAATTTGTGAAACATTACAAATGTTTTCCTCTCATTTGCTAGACACGTACACAGATGAACTGTTACATTAGACACACGTACACAGATGAACTGTTACCGTAGACATACGTACACAGATGGACTGTTACAGTAGACACACGTACAAGATGAACTGTTGCTGTCCTCACACGTTCACAGATGAACTGTTTACAGTTGACACATGTACACTGATGAACCATTACAATAGACACACGTACACAGATGAACTGTTACAGTAGACACACGTACACAGATGAACTGTTACAGTAGACACACGTACACAGATGAACCGTTACAGTAGACACGTGTACACTGATGAACCGTTACAGTAGACACATGTACACTGATGAACTGTTTACAGTAGACACATGTACACTAATGAACTGTTTACAGTCGACACATGTACACTGATGAACTGTTACAGTCGACACATTTACACTGATAAAATGTTACAGTAGACACACGTACGCTGATGAAGTTACAGTAGACACATGTACACTGATGAACTGTTACAGTAAACACATGTACACTGATGAACTGATACAGTAATCTAAGTATTTTTGTTTAATATTCCTTGTAAGAAGAAATTATTTTTTATACTTTACTTCTTAAGTCTTGATTTAATGTTTTGTTCCCTTAATTTAGCTTTTCACAAAATTATAATTAGATGTGAAGTGAAAAAAGGCACTAAACTAATGAAATAATACAAGTTCTAGATCCTTCATGCCAGGAACAGTGATCCCAGTGGCACTGCTTCACACCATTAGGAATCTCGTAACCGTATGTACACTTCAGTTTTTCCATGACACACTTCCAGCAGAGAAATAACTTCAACTGCACCTGCTCAAATGTTTTTTTAATACATGTTTGAGAACTCACTCTTAACCAAATGATGTGTGTAACTGCTGGACTGGAAATTATAAATATCCTACAGAAGTTGGAACTTCATACGGTAAGGTAAGAGGATAGATTCATAGTACATCTTTACAAAAGAAGGCCTGGAAATTTTTCATCAACTAACACAAAGAAAATGTATCATTAAGTAATGCTTTGTGACACCTTCTTTATAGGATTATAAAATAAACAGTAAGTTATTCATAAACCTAATTCCTTTATAAACAAAAAATCAGTGGATAAAATGTGGTTGAAACTATTATACACTGTTCTTCTTCTTAAAAAAACTAATGGACAAAATATAGAGTGTAGTGTAAACAAATACAATAGGCCTAATACTGTTGTCTTATTAAAGCATAATTAATTATAATCATGCTTCAACAGCTTAGATAAGCTTGTTATCATTGAAAAAAAGCTACAGATTACTAACTTCATTCATATACAGTTGAGGAAAGACTAGTTAACTGGACTGTAAAGTTACTGTATGGAAGAAATTAAAATATTGTTATTAATGAAGTCCAATCATCTTGATTCCTGTTACTAGTATAATACCTCAGTGGTCAGAGTGGATTTCTGCACTTTCTTATTTGTACAAATGATACTGACTGACTGAGACATAATTAGTAACTTGCTGATCACCCACCCCTAGTTTGGTATCAGTTCCTCAGAATTGTTTATTACTACTTTATATTCAGCAACTGATAGCATGATGCTGTGACTTCATTCTACCATTCAGTACTGTGCATTACCCATAATCTTGTAGAGTAAAAATGATGGCAGGTTGGAAGACGAAAATTTTTGGTTCATGAACTTTTATGATCAATATTAGGCTAACTAATTAAAGGTAAGGTTGAATAATATTAAAATAAAGATTATGTGAACTGGATGTTGAATTATTTTCAATAGATAATTGAAAATAACATACTAACAAAAGAAGTTATGAGGAACTGTAAAATAGCCAGCTACTGTGACTAAGCCTACTAGTACAAAGCTGGGCTTTAGTTATAATTTAATATATAGTTCTAGACCTACTAGTACTACAGTAGTATTTTTATTAACATTATCAATATTAGTATTACTAGTAGTGTTAACTGTAAATTATTTTATGAGTTTCCATTTTATAATGATATTGCCTATTAGTTTGACTTAAGATAATAATTAATGTTTCCATATAATAATATTATATGTATATATAAATATATATTATAATATTTAATAAAGTAAAATTTTTGTTAGAAAAATAGTTTATTACTGTTAATAATAGTAACAGTGTTAACAATAGCTGTTATTCTCAATAAAATGAAAAATATCCTTTGCTATTTATTTTCGTTATAAATATAAATTATAATGACATTTTGAAACATATTTTAATCAACCTAGTAGTAGTTGTAACAGTGGTTTCTCACCTCGCTTGTTTTGGATCCTTTAATTATTTGTCGAGCTAAAGAGCCAACACCGTTAACATTGACTTGGATTCTTTCAGAAAGTCGAGCTTTAGACTCTATGAAAAGATTCCTTGCACTTGCTGGTGTACTACTTGCAGCCATGTTTATAAGTGAATTATATTTTGGATACGTGAACTATAGTTAACGCAAAACATTAGAAAACCAATAGGCCTAAACTTTGTTAACACTAACTCAATACAAACGTACTACTACTAAACGTATTGATGTGTGGTACTGATAAAAACGCCGCTTGACGGTAAAATAATGTTTAAACAAAAAGACGTTTTAATAAAAACAAAAAAAGTTCCATAACCACTCTACATTGCTATTAGATCTTCGATGACACAATGAGAGTTTAGACTAAACTTTATCCGTGATGTGAGTCTACATATTAAATAATTAAATATATATGTATATATATTTCTGTCGCCTAAATATTAAATATATATATATGTTTCTGTCGCATGGTCATTCTAATTATTTTCAAATAACATGTGTGCACATAACATTAACAAGTGCGGAAGTTCCGAACCGCAAGGTGAAAAATATCATATTTCATATGTACGAGATAAGATCTTTATATTTTTCACCTTGCGGTTGAGGACTTCCGTAGTTACAAGACGAAAATTACAGTAAACTTTTCTTTTGACACGCGTTTTAAATGAAATGTTTTGATTTAAATTTTTTCCCTTTGTAATCTCATCTCAGCTATGCCAAATATTTTAGTCTTTCTGTGAATGTTCACTGTCGCTTATCCGTTTATACAAAAGATGAAAGATATTAAAACTTACAGGTAGAGCTATTCCGTAAGTAGTGCACCCTGTACTATCAATCAGCGGCATGGCACTACTTACATATCGTATAGTACATCATCGATGCTATAATGCTACGAATAACCCTTATAGTCTATCAAGGTTTAAATTCTACTTGGCTCTTTTAGGTATAAAAAAATTTGTTTTTTAGACATTGAAACTGTTAAAATGAAGGCTTAACAGTGATCAGCAGAGGTGTAGTGAAGTGTGAACGCGTAGACATTGCGTACTTATATTTTTTTTTTAGCCGGAACGCCGCTATTTGGAACGAATTCCACCTTATACAGTTAAATACGTTACTTCTCTATTTAGCTCTACACCACTTCTCTATTATTACTTTCATTAACAGTTATGATTAGAATGTTTAAAATATCTGGCTTTAATATTTTGTTTCTGTCATACTTTTATTATACATATTGTTTTGCATCCTTAGTGTATGGACAAGTCTAAACCTCCTAATCTAGCCGAATCTCACGAGACATTATTAGGTTTACGGCCAAAAATATTGTCAACTGTAAGTATATTTAACTGGTGAAACAATGTGTTCTTATTCCTGTAAGTAAAAATGTAAGAAAAGTATATTTATTCAATTTTACTCATTATTAGAAAGTTATTATTAGACTTATTTATGACTTTATGAATTAAAAAAGAAAGTGATTGATATGCATAAAAAGTAAAATATATAAGTTTTAGATTATCAAAGAAGATCATGCTCACAGAAACACAGGTTAATAGATGAAATGGCATTTATTATTATGACAAAACAAATTATCTTTTAAGTTCTAGATAATCAAAATTAATATCAACCATTCAAGGACAAAATAACTGTTTTATTTTCGTTTGTCTCTAAAGTTCGCAGTTTCAAGACTGTCATTGGTTTGCTTCTCATTCGGTATACGTACACAGAGGGTTGAGCATGTTATATTAACACACTTTTGAATATGCATATCAGTAAGTTATGTGGTAACCACAGCAAATATAGTATTGGTGAAACAACATGTATTAGAACTACATTTTGTAGGTAGCGCAATGGCATCAAAAATGGGTCATTTTTGGGGAAAATATGTAACAGCCCTTTGTGACACAAAATATTTATATACTCAGATCATAAAGATATGTTCAGATCAGGGATATCTCTTGTACATAATGGTATTGAAAAACAAAGGAAAATGGATCAATTTAAGATACCAGAACCATGAGAAAGAAACCTGCAACAAGTCGTACCCAAGCAAAGTGCCATGTCTTCTAACATAGGAATCTTCAACAAAAAAATCAACGACTAAAGTCATCCACATGCCCCACTTAACAGTATGGATTACCGATTTCAAGTAGGATCTCCATGTAGAAAGTCATAATATTTCACTTGTACACAAGTTGCTTCAGTGACATATCCATTCAATCATAACATACCTCAAGCAACTGCAAAGTGAAACAGATATTCATGCTAATAGGATGACATATTGCTCAAATCTCTGGTTGCAATGTCTGTAGATTACTATGTAGTCACGCTGTTGAAATGGATGCTGGGAAACCGTTCTTGTACACTACATGGATTATGGGAAGTAAGCATGGAAGAGTGGTGTGTTTTTGAGAGCTTTTTCAAATAGAAACCCCACTGCAGGACGATTGTCAAGATACATAGTCATCAATTAGACCTTGTCTGGATATAGTAACATTAACTGTAATGACATGGTGAGACTCCATAATTGTCTTAATATAAAGCACTCAACCTCTGGGAATAAAGTTTATATATGTTACATTTATAGTAACATTTTCAAAAACAATAAACAAAATTAGTGAACTTATGTTTTTATTTGCCTTTAACAATAACAACATTCAAATAAACCAAAACAAAATGCTTTAAATACAAGCCAAAATTTTTGTTTACCACAATTTACTACAACTTCGTACTAAAGAACAAAAGTTATTAGAGAATGTAAAAAAAAGTTAATCAAAAGTAACACTTGTTAGCAGATTTTCCAATCTAATAAAAACACATTTTACTTTCCCAAGAATATAAATCAACAAAGCAATAACACCAAGTAAATAGAAAATTAAGAGCAAAAACAAAACACCAAAATCATCTTTGAGCTTCAGTTTTGTGTCAAAATCTTGTCATTGTGATTAAACAATTATTTTTACAATAGGAAAAATTACTCATATTGATCTTTTCCATTTCTAATGTAAAAATTTCTTAACGGTATTCTTAAACTACAAGTTTTAAAAACACTCACATACAAGAAGATACGTAAACACATACAATAAACACTCGTGATTAGATACCCCAAAAATAACATTCAAAATCAGAAGAGTTCTCAAAAAAAAGAGCTAAGTTTGAGATATTCTGAACATACTGTATTTGAAAGATTAAGTTACGACTCGTAACTTCGATGTAAGTTTTATGTACACTTCTACTAACAGCTCTATTTCTGTCATCATAATGACCAAAACATGGTCTCACATGCACACAAAAAGTATGTTTTCAAAGGTTTAGGAATTATCTAAAACAATGCTCAAATTATTTTCTTAAATTAACTAGAAATTAATCTTTTTTTTTTTTTTGAGGAAAATATACAATAACTCTAGAAACAACAATTTCATAGCAGAAGATCAAATCAGAGGATTTTTTTCCCAGTTATGCTATTAATTATTTAGTACCTTTCCTGATGACCAAAATTTAATACAGTTACTATGCCAACAATTTAAGACAAAATTAATTATTATTTGTAATGAAGTAATTATCAACAATAACTTTACAATTCAAAAATTTTTTTTTTAATTAACACTACTTTGCTGGATGGTGTAGCTTCCAACAGGTCATCCACATTTCATTTAAATCAGAACTGTTTTCATTACAACACACGACTCAAAAATATAATGAAATCTTCCTGACAATATATGTAATGTCGTCTACAAAAAAAGAAGGAAAATCTGGAACAATCAGTTCCCAAGAAAACAAAAAAACCAGTAACAATATATATACGAGTAAACACAAGGTATAAGCTTCAATTCCTCTTCAATTTGCAGTTTCCTTCACACGGCCACCATCCCCTTCCGAGACAAATCTTTTACGGCCCCTGGAACAAAAATAATTAATCTCCACATTAAAAGAGTTCCTTTTGCAGAAAAATACCTTAATTAGTCTACCATGAAACTGTTATAGTAAAGTAACAAAAACAATTCATAATCACTTCATTAAGTGATTTTGAGGAATATAATACATGTTTCGATAAAACAGTGGTTTTCTTCGGAAGAAGACAGATCAACGTGCTGTCACAACATTTAGTATGTTTTCCTAAATAAAACTCACTGTTTGTTAGTTTACTATTATATTAACTTAATGTGCTTCCATACACAAGTAGAAAATTGTGATGATGTGATCCAGAAACAATCTTTATAAAAACAACTACGTTCACAAAATACTGCAGTACAATAATACAGAACTGCCGAATTAAACAAACAAGTTGAATTTTTCGAGTTCTGTTACGTATTAGAATTTTAAATGGTCTGAAACCGAGCTAAGTGATATTTTAAATTTAGTAGTTAAATCAAAGCTGATATAGTCAGTTTATGATATCTGCCAACAAGACCGATACACACCGTTTTCTTTTTTAACACAAATACGTTTTAATATACACACAACAG